TTCATGTTTCATCCTACAATTGTAAACAATGTAATACATCTATTAAAGAAGGTCATTACTGTGAAGACCATTGTAAAACCTTATTATATCATGATTGCTATACAAAATATGAAGATAAACAAGAAGATATTCTAGTTGAATTTATAAATTCAATATATAAACCATCTAGTCTAATCCAATTCCCGGTAACATTAGAGTTAAGAGAAAAATTAGTTCAAACATCTGCTATGTTAGATACTGGAGTATCTAAAACCATAATTCAAAAACATTTAGTACCAGACGAAGCCTTAGTAAAGTTAAACTATAATGTTAGTATGAGCCAGTATAATAATGAAAAACTTCCAATAACTCATTGTGTTCAAAACATTCCTATATTAATTAATAATGAAAAGTTTGTTTTACCTCAAACTTATGTAGTTAATAATGTTCCCAGTACTTACGATTTTATTTTAGGATTGAATTTTATAAATTCACTCACTGGAGGATTCATATATACACCCATGGGTTTACAGTTCTTTAAAAAAGGAACATTTATTCCATCCAACCCTCCTTTTATTCCTCAAAAAGAAAATGGAGCTATTACTTATATTAATATTTTATCTATGATAGAAGAAACTATAGAAAATTTATTTGATGTAACCGAATTCTTAGAAGACATTTCTGAAGCCTTAATATTTTTTAGTCACTTTTATGAATCAAAGATTTTCCTTAATAATAAAGTTATATTAAAAAACCCCAAATTAAACATTGATAATCTTATAAGACTAGTTGACACCACTGAGATTCTAGGAGAAGATCCCCAGAAACACTGGTATAAAAATAAAATTGAAGCAAAATTAAACATAATAAATCCTTTTATAACTGTTAAGATACAAGATAATCCTCATACCCTAGATGATCAAGAAGAATTCCAAAAACAAATAAAAGAACTTTTATTACTAATAAAAAAAAAAAAGTAATAATAGACATAGAAGTCCAGCTTTTATGGTTAGAAATCATGCCGAAATAAAAAGAGGAAAAGCTCGTATGGTTAAATGATAACACCTACGATGACAGTTATAAAATTCCCAATAAAGATGTTTTAATAAATCGAATACAAGATATAAAATGGTTTTCTAAATTTGACTGTAAATCAGGATTTTGACAAATCCGTATGGCTAATGAATCCATCGAATGGACTACCTTTACATGTCCCGAAAGACATTATGAATGATTTGTCATGCCTTTTGGATTAAAAAATGCATTACAAAAGTTCCAACGAAAAATGAATACCATATTCAATAAATACTTAAAATTCTGTTATGTTTACATATACAATATTCTAGTCTTCAGTCAGACTAAGGAAGAACATAGAAAACATCTTGAAGTTAGATCCAACGAATTTATAACACAGGAACTCATTATAAGTAATAAAGAGATGATATTAAAAAAACAAGACATTGAATTCTTGGACTTATACATAAATGACGAAAAGGTAGAATTACGATCACATATTGTTTAGAAGATTTTAGACTTTCCTGATAAATTAAAAGAAACCAAGTTACTACAAGCATTTTTAGGATTATTAAACTACGGTCGCAATTTTATCCCAAAATTAGGACAGTTAGTAGGACCATTATACTCAAAATCAGGAAAAAATGATCAAAAATATTTTAATACTCAAGACATAGAGCTAGTTAAGAAAATTAAATCGTTAGTCACTCAGTTAGAACCCTTACAACTCCCACTTGAAAATAGTCACAAAATAATCCAGACAGATGCATCAGCTCAAGGATAGGCAGGTTTACTTCTTCAAAGGCCTACAAAAGAATCTTCTCGAGACGAAGAACAAATTCATAGCCATGTTAGTGGAACTTTTAATAAGGCACAATCTACTTTACCCTTAACCGATTTAGAAATTTTAGGAGTAACCAACTCTATTGAAAAATTTCAAATATTCCTTGATAAAGAATTTCTTATAAGAACATATTGTGATAACATAGTCAAATTTGCCAACAAAGTAAAGCAATAGCGAATGTCTGCAAAAAGATGGATTTCCTTTATTGACTGTATTACGGGAAGAGGTTTTAAACCCATATTTGAACATGTCAAAAGAAAAAAAAGAATATTTAGCAGATATTCTATCTCGTTTACTAATTGATTGTTAAACTTTGTAGGAATGGAAACCAAGAGCAGCAACAGCTATAGCCTTATACCAAGCACTTCTAATCCTCTGTTGATTATCCAAAACCCAGCTCAACAGTTCCGCGCTACATATAATCTTTTTCCTAACCAAAAACTTATTTTAGATAATATATGGTTTTCGAGAAATAATCCCGACAGAACCCTTATTAGAAATTTAAATACTTTAAGTGAATATTTTGTAGCATCTAACAAAGCCTATAGCACTCTACAACAGGAACATGAGACACTTATATCTCATTTTAAAAAGTTGAATTTAGCTTATCAAAAAACAACAGCAAATCCCACAGAGCTAACTATTTCTGAGCAAAGGCCTTATGAAGACGAAAATCTTCAGAAAGTTCAATTTTTGCAGGTACAAACTAAGTATGTCAAGTTATTAACCATTTGCTCGCCAACTTACCGAGAAATCTTAAGACAATAAGTCGAGCTTTTTCCTAAAGACATCAAAGAACTTATCCTTGAAGAAGTTAAGTCAGATGGTCTCAAAAAATGAGTTGATATCCAGAACTACCTCAGGAATAACAGTCCACCGAAAGGAACCCGATATAATTATTATTTTTTGTGCTTTATACAAACAGGCAACTACATACCTACCATCATCTTATTAGACTTAGATATTGTCTTTTTCTACCCTTTTGAAATAATCAGAAAAACCTGTTTCTCTACAAGAACTACCACCTGTTACTTAAGCAAGCTCTTAGAATTAGGAATGGTCAACAGCATTTCCATACCAAAACCTCATCCAATCGATTGAACCAAGCCATTGTTTTTGAACAAAAGCTGACTCAAAACCTCATGCCAGAACGTCCAATTCTCCTTCAAATCTATAGTACTCCTCCAGAATGGGTAAAAGATGGAGCTATAATTCTTAGACAATATCAAATCTACATTCATTCTGATCCCACAGAAGTCCAAGTACTTACCAGACACATCGATTTTGTAAATAGCTTTCGTAATGAGATAGAACCAGCTACCTTTAACCATTTGATGTACTATAAATCTTATCGACAAGTTAACCCAAGCTATAACCCTGGTCGCAGACTTTACGACTATAATATAAATATGGAAATTTTCATCAAAGCCAGAATTCCCCATGTCATTAAATTTCCTCTAAAGATTGAGATATTTCCTGAAGTTGAAGATGTAATAAATGAAGAAAATATGTTGTTGGAACAGTTCGAAATCGCCTATAGAAATGAAGAAACCAGCTCACCAGATAGCAATGATGCATACTTGGCCCGCAGGCATGAAAGAGATAACAACCCACCAGATAGCAATACCGACAGAAATTTGTCCAATTTGCTAGAATTGTAAAAGTATCTAAGAAAAAATAGATTTGCCATAGTGTACAAATAAAAACAGATTCAACATCCAAGAAAAGCAGGTTCGCAACAGTGTACAGATAAAAGCAGATCCACCGAAAGGAGATTCTCAACAATAAAAGTTGATAAGATTCTCCAGACGTAAACATCAATATAATTCAAGCCATCCTATCTCTAAAGCATCTTGCATCTCAACCGTCTATGAAGCATCTGCAATCTCAGCCGAAGATTCATCTCCCATTTTTCCTATAAAAGGAGCCATTCTACTCATAGCAAGGATCATCGAGTTCTAGATCAATTAAGTAAAAAGCCATTAAGCATTCCAGCCTTTAGCTATAGTTTCCTAGTGTGCTTTCTTTATTTCAGAGTAATTCCTTTCTGTAAAATATTGTGTGAGAGTGTATCCATGTATAAACAGTGTGTATCCATGTATATATTTTTCATGAAATAAATCATTCAGTTTGCTCCTATTTAAAAATCATTTTTTCCTTATTTAGTATTTTCAGCACTTTTGGGCAAAAGACTTTTGTCGAAAAAAAGATCAAAAATATAAATTTTATTTAGTCAGACAGTGCAGATCATAGAATTTTCTTGAATCCAACCAGTACAAGCAGCCTTAGTTTTAATTGAACAATTTTTTCTGTGAGTTGACTCGAGCTATTGGCTTGTTAGCCTATTCTTGTCGGTGTTCAAGTATTTTTATAGGGCGTTATCAGAGTGTTATCAGGTTCGACAGTCATTTCTGTGATTTAATTGTTAATTTTATCTTTATGTTATTTGCATGCTTCTATCTGATTAAATTGAACTTAATTTTGGTATCAGAGCATGTACTATTTCATTAAATTTAATTTATATATAAGATCTTTTATCTAAAGAAGTCTATAAATCTGTATTAATCTATTGTGGTATTTTAATATTTAACAATATTAAATAATTTGTTCAAGGATCTTTTCGTAAGCTTATTTCAAGTTCTAAGGTTCTTATGATATAATAGTAGTTGTTTGGAGTCATTATAATAATAGAGTTTGTTGTGGGGTATAAAACATAAAGTGGAGTTCATTATATAGAAATAATTTGGTGGTCCATCCATTTATTGAAACTTCATGACTTTGATATCATGAACATGTAGTATACACTCATTGAGTCCATGTATTGATAGTTTACCCAAAAATAAATTACCCCTGTGCTCCGTATATTATAAATTTATACCTATGATAAATTCCCGAATCCCAGATTCTCCTTGTTCGTCAGTCGTTGTTGTCCTTGTGTATATATATTATACTGTAGAACATACTCAACATAGTCATCAAGCTGATTACCCCCACCTGGGCTTGTGCCTATATAAATCTCTACGCATGTATGTTTTGTGTGAGTGTGTGTGTGTATATATATATGTATGTATGTATGTATGTATGTTTGTGTTATATAATACGGAGTATTAGCTTCAACTTTCGATTAAAAAAAAATGTCTGTGTATTAGGAGAAAGTGCATAAAACCCGCCCTAAACTATACTCTCTCCTTAAAAATCTCCCCTGAAGTTCTATTTTTACAGTTAACCCCCTAAAATTTTGCAAAAATCACCCACCAATAAAGTTTCGATTGAAATTTTCAGCTAAAAAGGCGAGTGACGTCACATCCTAGGTCTTTAAATTTATAATGACGAAGTTACCCTTATTACCATTATAAGCTATTAAATATTTCCTCCGTCTCACAAATACATAATATATAAAATAAAAATACCCAAATTGATACATTCCAAAAAAAATACTCCCCCTCTCCTAAAAAAAGATGTCCCCAAACAGATCTAATTTGGTACGGAGATAGTAAAAAATATCCAAATTGAAACCACCCCCAATTGAACCCCAAATCTATCTGTTGGAACCAAGATTCATTCTCTCCCAAATTGCCATCTCTCATTATGGATCTTCACCATTTGATTCTCTACAAGCCATTCAACAATCACAAACGAAACCCCAAGTTTCATTCGCACACCCTAATTTTTGTTCTATAGCTCAAATTTCTTCGATTTATAGCAAGAAAATGAAAGTTTTGTTGAACACTGGTTGTCCGAGGAAGTTGGGTTTCAGCAAAAAGAGAAGTCGATAGGATTTTGACAGTTTGATGTGAGAGACGAAACGATCTGATGGAAGCGTCAGCATGGAAGGTAGAGCGAGATGTTGAAGAACGAGTCAAATATAAGATGAATCGGGGTATAGTTCGGCGAGGGATGGTGTTAAGGAGGAGGTGGTTGTCGTCCTCATCACCGTTAACCCCCTGTGACCGTTACCAGAGGAACGCATTGAGGTACTAAGCTTCTTGGTCATCTCCTCCTGCTATGTATTTCTTCTCACACAAACACAATCACTGCTCACCGCCGTGTTTACTTGGCCTCAATGGTGGAGTAATCGACTAACAAACTAGTTAATGGCTTCACTAGAGCAGCACTGTCGCACTGGTCGCATTTGGAGATCGAGAGGTGTTGCGTGCTAGAATTAGCTTTGGTTTGGTTTTGTGTTTTTTGGGGAAGGTGAGAAATCAAAATTAGGTGATGTGTTGTCCAATCCTTATTGGCCTTTGAGTGTTTTTTTTTTTTACACCTCAGCAACAAAAGTTAATAAAGAATCCAAAAAGGCCCTTCAACTAAAGGGTAAATTAGTAACTTTCTTTTTTAGGGCTGGAGATATCACCTGCTGTCCTTAAATGTAACTTTATCATAGTTCGGGGAGCATTTATTAATTCAGGGGGTTTGTACAATTGACTGAAAGTTTAAGTAAATAAGGGGAAGATCTTTGAATATATATATATATATATATACTTTTTGTATGCGAAAGGAAATAAGGGGAAGATCTCTGAATGAATCAAGCAAGCAAGCAGATCTAAATTATCTTCTTCAGCTTATCTGAATTTGTATTTAGAGCAAAAAGTTTGTCTTTTGATTACCAAAGAAATAAAAAGTCTTTCTTTTAAATTTGAAAGAGAACAGTGAAGGTAATTATGCCATGAATTTTCTCTCTCCCTTTCACTCTCTTACTCATGAATCTGATAAAAATAAATTTTTGCCGCAATTATTATAAATATTCTATTCATATATCTAGTATAGATCAATCTCACGCCTGCATCCCTGCTTTTTGCTAATGTGATGAGACACCTCTCATAGTTTTTTTTTTCACTGTGATTTGGTACAAGTTTATAGTCTCAGCTTGTGTGTGATTGTTGTTGTGAAACTACTTCGCAGCTTGTAAACTGAATATCGAATAAGGAACTTCCTAGACAACTGTTTCATTAAGATGAGGAAGACAGCTCGGTGTCCCTATTCTTTTAAGAAGCAGAAACAGAAACAGAAGGTGAGTTCTACTCGAAATGCCGCAAAAGTTATAATTGATTCTTGTCAAGAATTTTTTATTTTTTTATTTTTTCTAGTTCAAATTTGATTTATAATTATCCAGCTTTCAACTCCACTGCTATCAATTCATCCTCCCAATTGGCCTATTTCTTAGGTGCTGTTTTATAACGTTGAAAATTAAGTACAGAAAATTTTATAAGTTAAAATTTAAGTGCTGAAGTTTGTAGGTGCTAGTTTAAAGTTAACGTCTTTTGATATCTGTTTTTGAATTTTAGGTTATAGGTTAAGTTGCTGCATATAAAACACTTATATTGCATTTGGGAGCACCGAATTGATGCTTTGGATTTGGGGTTAATCAATTCCATAATGAGTACTCTTTTACCCACTCCAGCTCCTCGGAAGAGTCCAATTTTTCCTCCACGTCGATAAGGGGCTAAAAGATCTACTACTTTAATTCCTATTTGAAAAATAGATAATTTTGTATCTAATTGTATAGTTCAACTTTGAACTAAATTTCCTTCAATTCGAAATTCAAGGTGTCGATTCGGTGCTCTCAACCGCAATAATGTTAACTAGTGTATTCAGTTATTAAACACCACCTTATAGACAAGAAGAAAATTCATTGCTTACGTCAATGACTCTTATGATGTTCTTTTGGTTATTGTTAATGTGGTGGTTATTAAATATGGAAAACTAGAAGTTCATTAAAAAGACGGTGGTGGATGAGCATTTAAATCACCACCATGAAATGTAAAAACAAGTTCATTTGTTAATTTTCTTAAAATCCTTTTAGAAAATTATCTAGAAAAAGAAAGTTTCTTATTGTATTAGATACAACTGGCTTCAACCAAATCTTCTCGTGTAAACCAACCGTTATTCTAGCTTCTAATTTGTTTTTGCTGATTGTTCTTTTTATTTTATGTTATCTTCTTGTGTAAACAAGTTTTTATTTATCTTCCTCTATGGCAGTTGTTTATATATCCTCTCGACGAGGAATCACTGGAGTTTCAACGGAAGATTTACCGGTACTGGAAATTACAAATTTGTACTGGTTATCTGTGTGTTCCCTCCCACCCCCAACAAATGGTCCAAGAGTTTGCTATATACTTAACCTTGTCTGTAAATAATGATGCCTTTCTCTTGTGGTGCTGGCAGTTAATATCCTTTGATGGGAGTGCATACACAGAGGTTATGAGAGAGGCGACTAAATGTCATCATCAATGCCTTCAGGTGGTGGAATTGGTTGGGTTTGGTGGGAGTACTAGCCACCTTGTTTTGCACTTGCTTGAGATTGCCGCATCATTGGATAAGATAATTATTGACACCCCCCCCGGGTGTTTTATTGCAAAACTCCCGAGGAGATGGAAGCTTCTAGAATGCGTGCCAGGCAGCTAAAAAGAAGATTACCTGCAACTGCGGAATTAGTGATTCTTTAGTTTGAAATTATTGTTGTCCTCCATGTAGGGATGATATTCTTTGTGGACACATCCAGTCAGTCAGTAGTATGCACTCTGAATGGTATTTATAATCTATATTTATTCCTGTTTAATGTTTAAAATCTATATTTATTACTGTTGTGAATGTTTTAGTATACAATTGCTTCAATTTCCAGGAAAGTATATATATATATATATATATATATATATATATATCTCAATACCACGCTGTTAAGTTTAATATTGTTTTCGTTATTTCTTAATCAATAACTCTCTGTTAAGTTTGATTTGAAAGGAATTGGAAGTTTGATTTGGTGGAAAGAAATTGATGTGGAAAAGTGGGTAACCAAGTGAGCTTTGTCTGCTAATTTTAAAAACAACGACGATTAAGTAGTGCGTTGTGAATGTTGCATAATCGTAGAAGGCTATTCAACTATATATTGGGACAATCGGATGATAAAGAATTAGGATTGTTCTTTGAGCATTTATGGTTGAGCAGGTCTTTTATGTCCCACAATTATGAATCAACTTAAGAGTATGTAAGTGCAAAACTTTTATTTTTCCCCATTTGTATTTGCGCCACAAGTTGCGTTGGAGCACTTTTATCTCCAAAGTGGACTAATAGTCATGTTTTAAAAGTTGCCCAACACAAAAGTTCACAAAGGCTCCGTTCGTTAGGAAAGAAGTAAATTGGATAGAAGGGAGAGAAGAAGGGAAGGATGAGACATCCCTAAGAAAGAGATTATAGATTTTTCTCGTTTTGTTCGGTTGGATGAAAGAGAAGAGAAGAACCTACCAAATTCTTTTGTTCATTGCGGCGAGAGAAGGGAAGAGAGAATTTAAAATTATTTTTATCATTATACCTTTCATTATTTTTTTTCCCTGGTAAATAGCCATCATATTTACTACTCATTTAAACAATACCATTAATTTTACTCTAATTTATTGTTTGCTTTATATATATATATATATATATATATATATATATATATAATCATATTTCATTATGAAAAATAATAATATAAAAAAAATGTATCCCATTATCTACATACTTCGTTGATAAATATTATCCTAGTAGAGTCATGTCAAACTAAAATTCTTATTTTCAACCATTTGCGTTGAACACTCAAAATTATTTGCACCACTAGTTATAGTCTTACAATATATGACAATACTAGTGAAGTAACTACTGTTTTTAGAACTAGGTATGAACATGGAGTTTTTTTTTTTGGGTTCTAAATATGTTCTAAAAAAATGCTTTATGGTGTATTTTTTCTTCTGAATCCTCTTTTTTACTAATAAGGAAATTATATAACAAACAATCCACACACACATATAACACATGAATCATTCCTTGATAGGGTTTTTTTTTTTTTTTTTTTTTTTTGCTCGAGATGAGATGTGTAGGGTTTAATTTTTAATATTTGAAAAGGATAATATTGTAATTTAATAGTTTGATAATAGCTACACTTGTTTTCTCTCCTGTCTTCCGTCCAAATTTGGACGGATGAAATTTTGTAAAGGAGGGATAAGACATCCCTCCTATTATCCTTTCCCTCCGTGTCTCTTTCCTACCGAGTGAAGGAATTTTGTTCTTTCCATCATATTTTCTTTTCACCCCTCTTTCTTCCTTCCTACGGAACAGAACATTAGTTTTGATCGAAAATTGGGACTAGCAAACATCACTAATAAATTTAGTCCCTAATTTGCCAATTATTCAGAATGGTTTTATTGCCAATCACGTAGTTAATACAACCACAAAAATGCTCTTAAATATTTTTAGTAAAATTAGCTTTCAGATGGTTTTTAGGTCGGCAATCTTTGAAAATTTTTGGCAATTAAAGCATTATGACTTTTCCCTGAACCAAATCTTTGTCAACATGGCTTCTTCTTTTGTAAACTTCCTTTAAGTATTTGGTCTTCTATCCTAGTTGATCTACCTCTCCTCCTCAATAAATTTCTATGGTTTGACATGTTATGATATTGATATTTAATTTTGGGCGCATATCATGTTTAGGACTATTGATATTGGTTTCGAATAGTTCATAACATACCAGATTTTTTGGCCCAAACTCATATCACCAAATTTGTGATATTGTGTATTTTGGTACTGTAACGAAAGAACTAAAACAAATTTCCCAAAACAAATTTTGGTTACCAAACATGGTTTCGATTTCTACCTAAAACACTCCTACAAACTCCTACAACAAAACGATTGTTATACATCGCATGCCAAACAAGCCCTTAATGAAGATATGTCTTTTGTTTCTTCAATAATACTAACAATTAAATATATTTTCCTGGTAAACTTAGAATTTTCTAAACAATTCTTTTGTCATCTATCTTCTCACCCTAAGACTTAAAATTTTTTTTTTTGGTAAGTCAGCTTATGAACCAAAAAGAAAGAACCAACTAGCCCACAAAACACAGAGAGCCCAACCCACAAAGCCCAAAGGTAAGATATAGAAAAAGGCGAACAATACGATACGTGTAAACTGAGAAGTGGTAAAAAAAAAAAATTATTACCAAAAAATTAAATAATTTTTCTCGAGCAAATTTTTTTTAATGAAATATAATAAAAAGAATTGTATTATCTTAAATAAACAAGATCTTGCAAGCTTTGGTATAGCAAGATAACTAGGAACAAAATAGAAAAGTACTAAAGATTAGCTATAAAATTTGCCATTGGACAAGTGACAACTAATTAAATTAGCATATATAATTTTGAATATTTTTTTTGCATGTCTGTTAAGGGAGGTTCATGTATTTTAAAATATTATACATGTGTATATTATATGTAAATATAAATATAGTAAATATAAATATAGTAATTATTTATAGTAATTACAAAAGGCTTATTTATTGGCCTTAATTATAGTGAAATTATAGTAAAATTGGAAATATATAACTACAACTTATATTCTTTTGAATTTAATAAAAATTATTTAATATATATATAGTATATAGTAATATATGTTACAGGAACCACCAAAATAATGAACTTACAAATTTGTTTCAGAAGATTTGGACTTAAGACGTAAGGTTAGAAAGATTTAATTAAAATTTTATGAAATTCAAAAGAATATAAGCTTGAGAAGTCTCCTCCAATTCCAAGAGCTAAGCTAACATGCATCAATTGTAAACCATTCTTTATAAGTGGAACTACTTTATGATAAAATACAAGGGCTCTGTCCCATGCAAATGAAATTGTTCTATTTTTGTTATTCACATGATTGGAAGGAACAAGTCCATCCTTCAAATGGTCAATAAAAATCACAGTATATGTGAACATCCGGGTCAGGAAAATAAAAAAAAAATATATATATATATATATAGATAAATGATTGATGTGCATAGTATTGCTATAAACAGATTCATCCAATCGTAAGAATAATATGAGTACAAAACTATCGTAGTGGAGTTACCTAAAATTTATAAAGGAAATAATTCTAATGTGTGTGAATTCCTTTCCTTGTTTTAGGTAATTGAGTGGCAGACCCTCATAGTTAATAATCCCAATGAAATGATAGAAACGAATCTCATTTCCATGGAATTGCTTACTGCAAGGCCCACAAATGCACATACAAGTTCTCGTGGGATTATATAACTGAAAAATACCATATTGAGGCTACTACCAACATTAAAACAAATGGCAACAGAGACTTACTGTTCATATTCAGCACCAGGGCCACTTAGCATCTCTCCATGTGAACCCATGGTCCCTCCCATTGATGCTCGTTATAACATCAGAATCACTTCTTTCAACTAAAAGACGGTGCTGTGTGTCTCTTGCAAATGCCTTACAGCATTGAAGATTCCCGTCTCGTATCAATGCTTCTTCCCTATATGCAGGGCTGTGATATCTTGGATGCTGGATGAATTGCACATTTTTCCACCAGAGCTTGACAGCCTACAAGAACAAATTGTGGAAAAGAAAAAAGTTGAAGCACCAGGAAATATATTAGAAATGGAGCCAAACAAAGGTTTATGCCCCGTGTCAGAAATTTACATGTGAACAACCTTTTGCACCTCTTCACAAACTTGAAACTCAGAGATTTGACATAATTCAAATTTTTGGTTGAACATGCTGAATTGCATAGTAACTTGTGAAGAGGCTTATGCAATTTGAATTGCATAATTCAAATTGCATAGTAACTTGCCAAAAAAAGTTCATTTCCATGGTATATATTGCCCATAGTTAACATTACTGTTAGAATGTTATATATATATATATGTTGGGCCATTATGTAATTACATTATATTAGTAGGCCCTTGTGTTATTAAGGAGGCTTGTATCCCTTATATAAGCCTATATAGGCTTATTTGGTAGTGTGTCGGTGAAATATATATACATTTGTTCTCTTTGTTCTCTCTGTTCTCTCTATCTCTCATGATAAACAACATGGTATCAGAGCGGGTTGTAGTTGTGATTGCATCTGGGTTGGGTTGTTCTTCTACAAATCAAAATCAAGATCGAAGCCAACTCTGTTCTTCGCTAAAGATTTGTTCGTCGTTCTCAGATCTGACTCGCTGAAGATTTGTTCGTCGTTCTCAAATCTGACGCCTTTCGTTTTGCTAGTCGAGGCTTCCTTGGCTGTCGCAAGTTGCAGAAGCTCCATCATCGCGATCCCTCTCCGCTCCGTTGTTAGATCGCTTTTTTTTTCTGTTGTTGTTGGGTTGTCGTCACCGCTGCAAGGGCTAGGGTGTGTACTAGCCTTGTTTTTCCATTGCGAATCTCGGGTGCTGGAATTTCTTGTCGGTGGCAGAGTTCTGGTTCTCGCCGGCGCTGATTGTGAAGGAGAAGGGTGGTGTTTGGCTGCAGGAGTGAGGCTATTCCAACCCTTGTTTACTAAAACTGGGATAGTTATTCCAACCCTGGTTTCGTAAACCCGGAATAGCCCAGATTCGGCCCGTTTGACCAGATCCGATCCGAGGTCCGATCTGTTTGTCCAGATCCGACCCGTATCCGGTATCCGGACCCGCTCGTCCAGATCTGACCCGTTATCCGGATCCGACCCGTTTGCCCAGGTTCGGCCCGAATACCAATTCTGCTTCATATTTTCTTCTCTGTTTTGCTGGGTAAGACATGGCCTCCACTTCAGATTTGTTTTCTCCCACTTCTGGTCTTCATTCTTCCATGACTTCTGTTAAACTCAATGGGAAGAACTATATACTGTGGGCTAAATCAGTTAAAAATTTTCTCAAAGGTAGAGGCCTTGGTAATCATCTGACTAAAGAGAAACTCAAGGAAACTGATGCTTCTTTTGATGCATGGGAAAAGGAAGATGCTCAGATCATTTCTGTGATGATAAACAGTATTGAACCACAAATTAGTACAACTTTACTTTATTTGGATACTGCAAAGGAGATATGGGACAGATTGCAGCAACTGTATTCTGGGACAGGTAATATCACTCGTGTTTATGAGCTTTGTAAGCAGTATTTTCATCTTGAACAAGGTAGTCACAGTATAGAAGAGTATTATTCCAAAGTTATGGGCATTTGTGAGGAGCTGAATATGTATCAGCCCATTACTGCTGATGTTCGCAGTATGCAACAACAACGTGAGGACTTTAATGTTGTTCGTTTTCTTACTGGTTTGTCCTCAGTTTATGAGTCTTTTCGTTCACAAATTATGGGCACTCCCACACTTCCATCTCTTGCTGATGTGTTTTCTAGACTTCAGCGCGCTACACTTGTCAGTGATACCTCCACTTTGAATACTGGGCAGAGTGGTGAGCGTTCAGCATTGATTGTTTCAAAGGGTGAAAATACTGTTTTCCGTGGAGGTCGTGGGGGACGCTCCACACGTGGTGGTCGTGATTCACGGGGAAGACGTGGCCATGGCAGGGAATCACGAAAATGTACTCATTGTGGTCTTTCTAATCATACTGTGAATTTTTGTTGGGACCTTCATGGCAAACCATCTAGTTATGCAAATCAAGTTTCCTCCTCTCCGAATGATGTTGCTTCTGGATCTCATAATGTAGCTAAATCAGATACGGTCCCTGTCTCACGTGATGAGTATACTCAGTTTTTGTCTTATAAGCAAGCATCTAATTCATCTTCCACGGCTACCTTTGCCCAGTCAGGTACTGCACCCACATGTCTATTGTCTTCCACTCGCAGTCCTTGGATCATAGACACTGGAGCATCCGATCATATGACTGGATGTTTTTCTCTTCTATCTGATTTTAATTATGTACCTCTTTCTCAAAGAGTTACCCTTGCTAACGGTTCCTCCGCTAAGGTTTCAGGTTTGGGGACAACTCAACTTAGTGATTCCTTGTCTCTCTCATCTGTTTTATATGTTCCTCAGTTTCCCTTTAATTTAATGTCTGTCAGTAAGCTTACTAAATCTCTTTAGTGCTCTGTTACATTTTATCCTACTTTTTGTGTGTTTCAGGATCTCAAGACGAAGAAGACAATTGGTACGGGGAATGAAGCTGGTGGCTTATATTACTTTGATGTGGCACCTTATCCTATGGCTCTTCAGTCTTCTCTGTCTCCATTCCAGTGGCACTGTCGTCTTGGACACCCGTCACTTCAAGTTTTGTAGCGTCAAGTTCCTAGTCTTAGTAATTTGAAATTCTTGTCATGTGAGGTTTGTCAACTTAGTAAGCACCATCGTGTGTCTTTCAAGTCTCGGGTTAATAATCGTGTCTCTAGTCCTTTTCATTTGGTTCATTCAGATGTATGGGGTCCAATAAAGCATTCTTCAATCAATAAATTTCATTATTTTGTGACATTTGTGGATGATTATTCTCGCCTGACTTGGTTGTTTTTAATGAAAGATCGTTCTGAGTTATTTTTAATTTTTCAAAAATTTCGAAAAGAAATCAAAACTCAGTTTGGCTGTCCAATTCGTATTTTACGTTCTGATAATGCTAAGGAATATTTTGCAACCCCTTTTGATACCTATCTTAGTGATAAAGGAATTATTCATCAAAATTCATGTGTTTATACTCCTCAACAAAATAGAGTTGCAGAACGTAAGAATCAACACCTCTTAGAAGTAACCCGTGCTCTTTTGTTTCATATGTGCATGCCTAAACGGTTTTGGGGTGATGCTGTTCTTACTGCCTGTCATCTTATTAACCGTATGCCGTCATCTGTATTAGATGGCAAATCTCCACATTCTATTTTATTTCCTGATTCTCCTTTGTTTTCTCTTACTCCTCGAGTTTTTGGCTGTGTCTGTTATGTCCACAATCTTGGTCCTGGTTTTAATAAACTTGACCCACATGCCACAAAGTGTGTATTTCTTGGATACTCTCGTTCTTATAAAGGTTATCGTTGTTATAGTCCTGTTTCTCAACGGTACTTTATTAGCGTGGATGTGACCTTTTGTGAGTCCGTCCCATATTTTTCAGATAGTGATTCAATTCTTGATATTACTTCTGAGTCGCTTCTTCCTGCGATTCCACTTCCCTCACTTTCTCTTCAGCCTAGATCTCCTTTGCCTGCCCCATTACAGGTGTACACTCGAAGACCAAAGCCATCTGCTGTCGTGCCTCCTCCGTCGTCTTCAGAGTCTTTGGATCCAACACCTTCCACTGTGTCTGAATCCTTGCCTATTGCACTACGTAAAGCTCCTCGCTCCTGTGTTACTAAACATCCCATTGCTCAGTATGTCTCTTATAATTCCTTATCGCCATCTTTCTCATGTTTTTCCTCTCAATTGTCTACTACATTTGTTCCTAAGACTGTGCATGATGCTTTGTCTGATTCGGGCTGGAGGAAAGCCATGCAAGATGAAATTGATGCTTTGCATCAGAATGACACGTGGAATCTTGTTCCTTTATCTCCAGGTGTCAAACCAGTTGGTTGTCGCTGGGTCTACACTGTGAAGTATCTTCCAGATGGGTCCGTTGAGCGGTTAAAAGCTCGTCTTGTTGCCAAAGGTTATACCCAGACTTATGGTATTGACTATGATGAGACGTTTGCCCCTGTTGCTAAGATTTCTTCTATTCGTGTTTTGATTTCTCTTGCTGCTAATAGACATTGGCCTCTATTTCAGTTAGACGTTAAAAATGCTTTTTTGCATGGTGACTTAGTCGAAGAGGTTTATATGGAGCAACCACCTGGGTTTGTTGCTCAGGGGGAGTCTCTTCACACTGTTTGTCGCCTTAAAAAGGCCTTATATGGATTGAAACAATCTCCACGGGCTTGGTTTGGAAAATTCTCTGAGGCAGCATTAAAATTTGGTCTTAACAGATGTCAGACTGACCATTCGGTATTTCCCCAGTGCACTAAAGCTGGCTTCATCTTTCTTGTTGTATATGTAGATGATATTGTGATCACAGGTGATGATTCTGAAGGCATTGCTAAGTTGAAGTTGTTTCTGCAATATCAATTCCACACTAAAGACTTGGGTAAACTTAGGTATTTCTTGGGTATTGAAGTTGCTAGATCCAAGAAGGGTATAAGTTTATCACAACGAAAATATGTGTTGGATTTATTAGAAGAAACAGGTATGTTGGGTGGTCACCCGGTTGATGCTCCTATGGATTCGAATACAAAACTTGTGTCTGATGAGGGTGATCTATTTAATGATCCGGACAAATTTCGTCGTCTAGTTGGGAAATTAATTTATCTCACTATCACTCGACCTGATATTTCATATGCAGTTAGTGTTGTAAGTCAGTTTATGGGAGCTCCTAGAATGCCACATTGGATTGCTGTTCTTCGGATTATCCGATATCTCAAGCAAGCTCCAGGTGTTGGGTTACTATATAAATCAAATGGTCATCTCAGGGTGGAAGGTTTTACAGATGCCGATTGGGCTGGTTCTCCTTCAGATAGGAGATCTACTACAGGCTACTGCACATTTGTAGGAGGCAATCTTGTTACATGGCGAAGTAAAAAGCAAACGGTGGTAGCTCGATCTAGTGCTGAAGCTGAGTATAGGGCAATGGCTCATACTACTAGTGAGTTGACCTGGATACAACATTTTCTAAAAGAACTTGGGTTGACAGTTGAAGTTCCTACTCCATTGTTCTGTGATAATCAAGCAGCAGTTCACATTGCCTCAAATCCTGTGTTTCATGAGAGGACCAAACATATTGAAGTTGATTGTCACTTCATTCGAGAAAAGATATTGCTTGGGAGCATCTCTACTCCATTCGTGAAGTCTGAAGATCAATTAGCTGATATGTTTACCAAAGCATTGGGTCATAACCGGTTAAGAACTATCTGTTCCAATCTAGGATTATTTGATATATATTCTCCAGCTTGAGGGGGAGTGTTAAAATGTTATATATATATAAATGTTGGGCCATTATGTAATTACATTATATTAGTAGGCCCTTGTGTTATTAAGGAGGCTTGTATCCCTTATATAAGCCTATATAGGCTTATTTGGTAGTGTGTCGGTGAAATATATATACATTTGTTCTCTCTGTTCTCTCTATCTCTCATGATAAACAACAATTACAAAATGGCTTATGTATGATATTGGCACCAAAAGACTTATTAGTCATTAGGTACCTGACTAATTATTCAAGATTAAAAGAGTTCATTGTTTATGTGGGTATGTTGTACAAAATTGTCGTCCAATATTTGAAAAGAAGAATCACAAGCGATTTTTCAAACCACTCACTCTCTAGAGATTATTATATAAATATTTTGTTCCAAATTAGCATCCGGCTCTCTCGATATTATTATATAACTATTTTATTCTAAAATAGCCACCAGATAATTATTGTTTGATTAGAGAAAGACAATCATGACTTTTTTATTGGTAACATTAGACATAAATTGAAAAAAAAAAAAAACAACTTATTTATGTTATGCTGGACATGAATTCAAGGCATTTGCACTAACAAAAGACGATTCAACAAGATGAGCTTAATGTTGAACCGGACAGACAACTTATTCGTGGATTTGTATAGATTTCACTGGCATATGTTGACCATATTTCATTCAGATCAATGTTCTGAATATGACCTAGAATCACAGGCAATTAGATACAGGTCCCTCAATGGCACATTGCATGTTTGACTAATCAGTAATAACAGTTTCAAGGTACAATTATTGATACCAGAGTGATTACATATTTCCCAAGTTTGAATGACTCCCGTGGAGTTAAGTTACCCTGAACTTTTTGCTCTTCCTGTGGTCTGAGTTACCCTTTTTCATTGGTTCGCAGAAATTTAGAGTATCATTATATCTTAAGGTGTAAGCTATCATAGCAAGGAGTAATAAGCAGCGTCTCAAAATTTAAAAACACTTACATGCCAGTAAATCCAAACTGCAACTTTATGGGGCATCAACCAGAAGAACACAGCATGGTTATCGACCAATGAGGAGTGAACTTTTTTGGCTGTCAAGGTAGCTGTAAAATAGTCCCCAAGCTTGGGATGTTGAACAGATATTGCTACTAACAGCTCATCTCCAGGTGCATTTGTTTTGATTCTCCAATCGCCTAGCATATCCTGCAATTAATTCTCATTAATGTTTAAATTAGGAATGGAGAATTTGTACAATGCTGAGGATGAAGATAGAACAGCAAATCAAGTAGTGCAGATAAATACACTTAAAACAGAACCTTCAAATATGCAATGACATTTCAGTATATGTATATATTTTGTGCAGCTTGTGCACTTTCAAGACCTTAAGTGCCTGAATCCAACAAGTTATTTTTGTTACTGAAGTTCCTACTTCTTCAGGCCTTGCTGTTTCAAATAGCATACCATCTTCCATTTAAGAACCAAAAACTTGAGAACATTAATATGTATAATGAAAGAATAACTATCACCATTTGTAACTTTATCACGTGAGTGGTATTCACACCACATAAGCCATCACATGCACATGGCGCTTGGAACATACAGAATTCTGATGTGTAGTGCACAACGGGTACCATGGATCAAGAGCTTAAACTATTTTACCTAATTCTTATTCTCTCGTATTAAACTCTCTTGCTTCTGTAAAGTTGATTTGTTGGTGGTTCAAATAATTTGAACATGGCTGCTTGCATTTCATTGCTATTGAAGGGCCATGCCAAATTCTTGGTAATATTATTTTTTCCCTTCCCAAAGCATGCGCCTCTTTTCTCCTATAATTTTTCTTCTTATCCATAAAATCATGAAGTTTCAAGGCCAGAGATGTGGTGATGTCATAATTTTTGAACTGGTCAGATTTTTATGTTTCTGAAAATTGGTTGGTTTTGCCAAGTCCTTTGCCCCTGCAGACATTGGATTCTTATCCATTATTTCCTGTTGCTTACAGATTTTTTTTTCTTTCCTGGAAGTTCAAGCAATTACACACACACACCCAATATATATATTATGCCTCCGCCGAGGCTCAAACACTCAACCTCCCATTTGGGGAGGAGACCATCTGGGCTAGTTCCCGTTGGTCCTGTTGCTCACAGATGTTAACTCAGCTTCATACTTTTATTTGCTGTTTATATATTCTTGAAACTTGGGGCTACATTAATTTTGATTGGATAAAAAAAATAAATAAATAAATAAATAATGATTGGATGAAGTTCATTTAATGAACTGATCTTGGCTCAATTTGAATCTTCCTTTCTGTTTGGTGTTGATGCAAGCTAAATATTAGTAAGTTTAATTTGTTTCGAATAAGTTCTTCATAATTTCCTGAAATATTAAGTGATGTAAGATGCAATAGCATTGATTACCCAAATTAAAACCATTAACAAGATCATAGACTATTGTAGCATAATTTTTAAGAGGAGTAAATAAGCAATCACACAAAGAAAACGAAAAATCAGAATAAGAAGAGAAAAGTGCAAATTGAATCCAAAAAGAAATAAGAAGAGGCAAAATTTCAGCGTTTCATTGTGTTATAAATTACTTGGAGGGGGGGTGTGAGTACCAATTAGGGAAAAAAAATTACTTAATAAAAATGGACCAAGGAAGGAAATAAAGGGTAAACAAGCAAAGCAATTTATTGGACTTACCATAAAAGGACTGACATGTAGTGGCTTTGCAACTAAATCAAAGTTTGGATTGAACAAAAATGATACTCTTTCACCCCATGGTGTATTGGTTACCTAAACCAGAAAAAGTAAGTCCTGTCAGCCGATGGCAAGTTAGATTGGAACTTAGTACAGATTACAGAAACAAGAAATGTTATAATTTAAACTCAGTGTGAAATACTTGCAGAGTGACTGATGAAATTGAGCAGATGATCCGTGTACTTTAAAAAGCTTTGCAAATTGAACCTTACATGTAAGTGGCAATAAGCCTATAACTATGGGGACTACACACCTCAGCAATGCAATTCTTCAACTTCAGGGCTGATTCGTCTAGATCATAGCAATAATACAAACTCAATGGATTTTGTTCATATCCCACACTAGGAGGTATTGTCAAGAGGAAACTGTGCAAGGAAGCAAATTATCAATTTGTAGAAAAACTGAACACATCACAGTAAAAATAACAAAACGAGAAAAGAAAACTACAAAGTTTTTTAAGAGCCTAACAAACATCTAATCATGATTAACCAAGTAAGGCCGAGAGAATTAACATAATTTACTTCTTTTGATACCGTAAATTTTGTAAAAATACTTAGTGAAAAAAAAGAAAAGAAAAGAAGGGGGGTGGTGGAATTCATTAAAGAAGCACCAAAACAAGGATACAACCGTGCAACATATTGTACATGGGGACACATATATGAAAAGAACGAAGAAGGTCAAGATAAAAAGTACGCATATCATGCAAACTCCATAAAAGAATTTACAATCACTGAGGATATAAATTGAGCCATAGAAAATAAAAGAGCTAAAGACCAAAAATTTTATCTTCCAAGATTTGAGGGAACGACAAATGAAAAAATCCATTTTTTTATAAGCATAAAAACGCTACTATACTTACCAGAAAAAATAAAAATAAATAGATAAAAACACCACTATCAATATTAACAATCAAAACCTTACAGTTACAAATTTCACAATTTTGCCTTGTGTTTATGCAACTGATCCAATATACCCCCACATTTCTTCTTATGTTGCATTATACCCAAGCATGTAAAGTTGAAATCTTAATGGGGGTAGGAGCCATGGAATCTCCTGGCAACAAGAAGAACACCTGTTTCGGGTGTGATAGGTGCAAACTAATTTGAGAGATAAAGTTTATGCTTTTGTGATACATTCACATGACGATGATATCAAAAGAAACCGGTTACCTGAAAGCTAAATTGCTTCTAATGAAAATGTTAAGCAACTCTAGTCTATGGAGGTCAAGTAGCTCTAATTGTTACAAATTACTGAAGGTAAAATGAGATAAAACTCAGATAAAAAATGGTGCGGTTATGTGCAATGAAAGATCAATACCAGCATCAATTTTGGTGAAACATGATTTACATTAGCTGACTCAAACTAGGTGCGAGTTAAGTTGACATACCAGCGACATCATAAAATTGGCATATAACCAATTTTTTTTCTTTCTTCATATAACCAATTTCACAAACCACAGTTCAACAAATGAGCCAGAAAATTGTTATTTAAACATCTATTCGTATCAATGTCTATATATATCCCATAACAATAGATATATATGTATATTTTTAGTACACATGAATGATAATTAATATAATAATTGGAAATAATGCCTAAAAGCTACTATGACATGTTTTATATAGTAACGAGTGTATATATAATGAACACCATATAGAATTATAGTCTTATCTTTAATTATTTGTCTAGAGCTACCAAGACAAAAAAATAAAACAATAACAATAATAAAATGGAACATCCACATAATCAATTTGATCAGCGAGCTTAGATTTATAGAAAGAAATTCCAAATTCGAGTCAACAAAATCCAGAAAATTGAATTGTACAATTGACAATAAAATGAGAGCGAGTGATTACACGGGACCGGTGGTTGTGGCCACTCGACGAGCTTCGTCGGCGGAGAGGTGGCTGGAGAGAGCGTAGGGCGCGTGGTCGAGGTCAATGAGCGCGTACCGGGCAGAGTATCGGAAAGAATGGTGAACGGGACGGCGTCGTTCGTGCCAGACGACGCCTTGGTACAGAGACACCGGTTCAGCTCCGTCGGCGGAGGAGGGAGGGGCGGCTCGTGGGATGAAAAACCACCGGAGGAGGGATTTGTAGGCGAGGAGAAGAGATAAAACAAGGGTTGTGAAGGAGGTGGAAATGATGGAGCACAGAAGATAAAGTAACTCCATTATCTCTGTCGATGGAAAGACGCTGTTGATAGCTCCATTAAGTTCAACGAAATACATGAAAAATATAGGGTTAATTTCACCTACACCCCTGACGTTTGTTTATATTTCACTTACACCCCCTCTATGTTTTATAATTCCATCTACCTCCTTTCAGGTTTTGATTTATGTAGCAACTTACCCTGCCGTTAGGCAACGGATGGTGTTAACATGAACAAATCAGTATAAGGTCAATTTTGTAAGTCGTACGCAGCAGAATGTATACAGGAAAGTTTTTATTTGTTTTATAAAACAGATCTGTGTCGTTACTAACTTTACTTATTTTAGCAATTAAATAGTTAATCACATGCAGATAAAATAAAACAAAGTATAAAGGTAAAGATGACACCAGGATTTTAGCGAGGAAAATCCAATTGATAAAATACGTCAACTGTTATGGGAAAAACCTCGTGGACTTGTGCAGTCCAAAGTAAACCAATCCACTATGCTTGAAACAAAGTATACCGAACTTTGACTCTGGCTCACGCCCTATCGTTCTACACCACACCAACCGCTGACGATCCTCTGGCTTTGCGACTCCCCGTCCAACAGCAACTTGATCTCAGGCTTACACTTGATATTTGTAGAAGAGTAGCAGATAGAGCAGACAACACTCCACAAATGCTCCAACCCTTTCAAAGTGTGACTGCGTTTACTTCTGTTCTTCAATCGTCTGAATAATGTAGAAGAATATCTGCTTTGTCTGATCGATGTAAATACAACTGTATGATAACGATCAGGATTCGAACACCACAACTCTAAACTAAGTGTTTATGTGTATATGTTCTAGAAAGATATCAGAAAAAATCAACTCTGATTTTCTGCAAAAATAATCTTCTTAAGTCTTTGAATAATATCTGAATAATAATGTAAAAGCCCTTTCTCAACCAATGTATATGACATGGTTTATATAGAGTTTAGAATGACCTAATCCCTCTGAAAGTAAGATAAAATTCGTGCATAGGATTTGGTACAATTCTAAACCAACTAGGAGAGAAATCTGAAACAGGAAACTAAACTTTCCATAGGTTATCAGGACTCTTGAACCTGTTGAAAGAATTGGGAACCGGTTCAAAAATGGCAGAATGTATTTCGAGGCCAATGTTGAAAACTTGAACCTGTTCAAAAAATTGGGAACAGGTTCAAGAATGGCAGAATGATTTCTAGACGAAATTCTAATGGTTTGAACATGTTCCAAGAATCATGAATAGGTTCAAATCTACCAGACTTGAAATTACCAAATATGGAATGTGTCCTGACCTTTTTGGATTTCTTCCTAACACGGTGTTCTTCTTTTTCTGTGATGATCACAAGTATAGCATCTTTGAACAATCTTCTAAATCCATAGTCTCTGTCGATCTTGATAACTTGCATTACAAGTAACTTAAATTACAACTCGATATGAACTTATTATGTCTACGACAATTGCCAAAAATAATTAATATCTCACAATCTCCCTCTTTGGCAATTTCGTGACAAAATCCTAAAAATAATTTTTCGCAATCTACCCAAGCAGAAAAGTAAATTACATTCATTGTTAAAAGGCAAAAATACGGAATAGGAATACTGTTCTTCTTGGATGCAAAGCTTGACCTGTTTCCTGCACACTATCAAGCAACAACTACCAGTGAAGTGTAATAAATAAAAATTTATAAACTCCCCCTTAAGTAAATATCCAAGATTTTTACTATTTTATTTCCCCCTTAACATCACATTTGGTCTCCCCCTTTTTGTAACAAATTGACAAAGCATTGAGATAAATACAAGAAATAGTAAGACAGAGATATAAAGCAAATTCTAAAACAAAGCATATTCAAGTCATTGAAAGCATATTCCAGGAATATCCAAAACAAAATGACTATGTGAGAACGTGTATGATGCTATGATGCATGATAAACAGAAAAGTCAGTTTCATTATCAATCACTATGTCAGAAAACAATTATCAGCTTCAATCATCTCCACTATCCTCTTCAATCTCCTCATTTTCCTCATCCTCATCCCCATTGAAATAGTCATCCTCACCGTTAGCTCGCATAGATGGATCTGGAAGAGCAGGCCGATAAACATCCTCAATAGGAACCTCTGACTGCTGGTCTCTCATCTGTCTTACCTCAAGTTTGAGATGTCTAAGGTCAGCCATCATCAACTCTTGGTTCCGAAGAATACTTTGCTGATTCTGAAGTAGAAGAGAATACAACAGGTTTGCATCTGCTCTAGAAAAATTTCCTTTGGGAGGAAATAATCGAGTAATGTCTGGAGTTTGAGAATACCCTTCATTAGCAACTCTCTTAGCCTTTCTAGCATTTTCTCTGGCTGATTATGACTTATTCAGTGCACAAGCATCTAACTCAGTCATAATACGCTGATGATATGCTCTTGGAGGAATCACAACATTCTTCAATTTGTAAAACGCCATAATAATCATAGGAAAAGGTGAAGAATTTCAGCGCGAGATTTTCTTGGAATGAGCCATCATTAATTGCACAATTGATGTTGCAAGAATAATAGTCTCATTTCTAGCTAGAAAATATAGAACCTGTGCTCTCTCAAGAGCGATCTTGTCCTTTTTTCCAAAATAGCCGAGGTTAGCCATAGCGAACAAATTAAAGAATGCAGCCTCGTTGGTTAGAAATCGAGCTGGAATGTAATCATCATACCTTGGAGAATTTGGAACATAAATCTTATTTGCAATCACTGATAATTCAGGACATGTGACTTCTAACGGTAGAACTTGTCCAGTCAGCTGATTTGTATCAGGAAGGTCCAAGATAGATTGAATAGCTTTTTCATCAACCATATAATCAATCCCAAAAAGTGTAACGATGAAGTGCGTATCCTTACATTCACGAATATTAGCATAAAAATAGTGTACCATATCTGGAGAAAAGAAACTCCTGCCAAGCTTGGTAAAGAACAACCATTTGTTAGTTTCAATATATGTCACAAGCTGTTGTCCGGCAATGTCATGAAGCTGGTCTAAATTGACATTCCTTTCAGTTTTGATTGGACCATCTTTGTAGCAGTCAATATAGGCATTCCAAGCATGTTCATTGTAGAAGTGATTTTATTCGAATTCAATCTTTCCTGTTGATGACATAGATGGATGCCCAGATGGCATCTCTCGAGAAGACGAACTGTTTGATCTAGAAGTTGATGTCCTTCTTCTGGAAACAGTTGAACCTCCTTGGGATTCTTGAATGTCAATGCTTGTTCTGGACCTCTTGGGAGGTTGTGGATGTGCAATACCTTTACCTTTAACCTCTTTGGAAATTTTAGGAGCCATTTGATTCACACAACTTTTGGTTTTAAAGCTTACAAACTCTTTCTGGAATTTTCTTAAACACCTAGTGTGCAACCCCAAAGGTGTTTATAGAGAAAGTTTGATATGATCTCCAATTCTCCCAAAAACTCAACCACAATGTAAGACTATGATCCCAAGCACAATTCAAAGCTTCAACCACTCCAAGAATTAAAACAATTAACCAATCCTCTAAGTTGTTCAAACCCACACTCCAACTTCAATAAACCCATTTTTCAACTCAATCTTCACCATTAGGTAGTTGTTCTTCAATTTGCAATGAATATGTATGCAAGATATGTTATGGAATGATGAACAAAATATATAAATGATGTATAGATATGTGGGTATATGAGAGTTGTTAAATGTGAGGAAAAAGCAGGCAAAATTCGCAACACAAGAGAAAGAGTCAAGTTCCCTTTAGCGTGCACATGCCAGGCCTTAAAAGCCTTTTCCCGAAGCCTTGAACCTGTTGGAACAAGTTCCAAACAAACAGTCCACTTTGGCTTTGAGCCAGTGGATATCTTGACCCGGAGTGTTGTTGTTTTTTTTTTCCTTTTTAAAACAATATTTCATTTACCCAAAACTTGTTCTAACACACTGGTGATTAAAAAACAAATCCACAAATTAAAATTCTAAAAACCTAAAAATCAAAATCTTTTTAGATTTTTTAAACTTTTTAAAAAAAAAAAAAAAAAAAAAACCACCAATCATTAAAATCAACCGGTCAACACACAATTCAAAACCCTTTCAGAGAATTTTAAAAAAAATATCTCAGAGAACAAATATTTGACTCCACAGATTTTTCAAATAAATTCAAATCTCAGAAAGTAATCACAACATGAAATCAAACTTGAAAATTTTACTGAAAAATTTAGAAATTAATCTAGCAAGTTCATGTGTGTGTGTGAAATCCAATCTAATCCATCTTCAGTTGAATTTCAACAGATTATTATCTAAATCTTATTGATCGAAAAGTATCAAGATAAAATTGTTTTGAGCAATTTTTCTAAGCAAGGCGGCTTTCACTCTAAAGAGTAGTCAGCAATTCCCCAACTCAACTTATCTCCACTTTTCACTTCAATTCACAGTTTAATGGGAGTTTTCGATCAAATCTCAATAGGTAGCCTTTTCCTTAGCAATTTATTCAGCATTTTTTTCTTTTTATTTTCAAGCTGAATATGTTTTTTTTTCAATCTTTTTATTTTTAGCTTCTATTTTTTAAACAATAACCTTTATAACTTTTGTGAACAATAAACCCTAGTCAATAGATCAGAAGATTTTCAACCAAATTTATTAAATATGGACTAGTGCACAAAAGTCTATGAACTTAAGAGATTCAAATCTAAAAATCCCTTAAACAATGTAAATCATCTCTCACTGTATAGATTACAAATCAAGAATCTATTTTTATTCAAATTATCATGTGTCTCAATCTGCATTCAAAGATAGATCATAAATTCTTCAAAAGAATTTTTACATGCATATTAAGAAGATTATGATCAGAAAATCAAACTCTAACCAAACCCTAACAAGTGATCCAATGGCAACAAATTTTTCTTTTAAACACAAGCCATGATCACTGAATTTTATAGGACTCAGTTTAAAGGTGAAGTCCTCTTGGAAACTTGTTCCAAGGACTCAACAGGCACATAATTGATCAAATCAGACTTTTTGATCCACATTGTCTTTACTCTTAC